CACATGTTCTGTTCTCTGACAATATCAAATTACATAATCAGATACATTTCTTTTACAAAGCAGGAAAATGAAATTACATAAACAGAAAGATACCTCTACATTTAAATTTCAGATAAAATGACCAACAGAAGCACTTCAACTATATTTTGTATATTGCAAAATTCTACGCTAAGTACATATAAATTTTCACCAAAAAAGTGAACAAAATACATTTAAATATATGATGTTCTTAGTTATAGAAGAAATAAGAGAGAACTATAACAGTCAATCTATCATCAGAGATGTATTATGAAAGAATACTGCTTTATAGAATTGTCAAGATTATAAAGAAAGAACCAGTCTAGGAACATAACACTTAACTCTTACACAGGATATTTCTTTTTCTTGTAATGTTCTTGCATTTAGTTGCTTTCAGAAGTTTGCCCCAAAGATAATAGAACATTGATCTGCTTTAGTTTTACAAAGCTTATGTTAATTAAGAGTTTCTAATGAAAGTATTACGTCTCTTGCTAAGTTAGGTCTTGGTAAGATTGGAATAAAAATATACCATAAATATCACATAGCTGCATTGATACAAAGTTTTGAGCAATGCAGTGTTTCAAAAATTCAAGAGTATAGTCAAGACCAGCTGCTCTGTGGATAAAGCTGAGTCCAATTAAAGGCATGCTGAAAATTAATACAGTAGTAATGTTTCATTTATGCTTTTACTGAACTACATTTTTAGAATCACTTTTAGCAAGATTATACTTTTTTTAAAATCCTAAATCCTCTTCCACTGGCTTTCACAAAACAGATTCACAGTGGTCGGATGAAGGCATTACACAGCAAAAAACCTCAACTAAACCTACAAGCCATGTTAAAGCTAAAAGTTAAGTCTTTTCCTGTAAAACATGAGATTTCCAAAGACATAATTTCAAAACAGGTTAAATTTAAATTTGGAATAATATTAAATTATTTTCTTTTTTAAAATAACATCAATTAATGTTTAGAAAAAAATAATAAGCAGGAAAATATGGCAACATTTAATTAAAAATATATTTGGCAAGTGAAACAAGTCCTGTTTAGGTGATTTAATGTCAGAGAAAGGATACTAGTTTAGGTGGGTTCCCTGTAATTAAAGCCAATAAAGACATGCTCATCCTAATTTCCCTGACAGGAAGAAACCTTTATTCCCTGAGAATATTTTTAATTTGCTTTCTTTCAACATCTGAAACCAAAAAGACCATAAATCAAAATCTGCTTCTAACATCTGACATTCCGCAGCTTAAGTATCAGTAAGTATTACAGTTTTAATTTTTCTGAGATTTCCACTCCAACAGATTCAGTACCCTAAACTTCTAGATCAACAATCCTTTAACAATCATCAGATGAAAATGTATAAACAATTATTCACCATATATTCTAGAATCAGAGCTTAGGCAAGATGATCAGGTACGTTAAAATCACACTGTATGTTAGTAGAAGTACAGACTAATCTTGGATGGATACATTATACCAGTTTGCTGCTGTGCCTCTCTTCCGGAGCTAGCTTGCTGCCCAATTCTCTCTTTCCTTTCTCCTGGCATTCATTTATATAGATCAGGAAACATAAAACTTTTAAAACAGGTTTGTAAGGAAAAAAAGGAGAGAAAAAAAATACCCAGCTCTCTATTTTTCAATCTTGATCAAATATGTAAACCCTCAAGCAAAGTATTTATCACATTATTAATTGATAAGGACCTAAATAATCTCATAATATCTGCATCTTAAGTGTAAAGTTAACATTTACTCTATCTCCTGCAGTAACACATATATTGGAGAATCCTGTATATATTTCTATAAAGTGATCGAAAACAAACTGTGGCTTGTCAAGCAATACAGAGATAATTTCCATTAAAATGCCTAATATAAAAAATTTTTTAAAAATGCCTGATATCTAAATTGTATGTGTAACTTCTTTATCAAGAATAAATTACAAAAATATCTTAACCAATCTCACCTCCATCATTGCAGTGTTGTGAAGTAAGATAATCCTTGTTCTTACTTTCTCTCATTAATATTTCAGAAGATTCTGTAACTGTAGCATCATTGGGTTAAAAATATAAAGGTTTACATTTACCTCTTAAAAAATAAAACTAGTAGAGTGAATGTTCCTCAGAAATATGAGACAGAAGAGAAGAATATATATTATAGCTTCTCTTTAAAAAGATCTTTCTCATCAGCTAATTGATAAGTATAACCTTCAAGTCACCTTCAGGAAAAGCAGTTGATGTCAATCTACTACAAAATAAAGTATTTTGTTAAATGTCTGATAGAATCATCCTTTCTAAGCTACTGAAACTTTCCCTCATTCAGAAAGTGACATTCTCTAAATCATTCTGTTGCACTCAGACTACACAATACTTCATGTGGTACATTTTAAGCTTTAGGCAAAAGATTTAGCCTGAATTGGTCATTATTTTGTTCGTATGCAGTACATACCATCTCTGTAGTCAATTGGAAGCTTAACAATTTCTAAATTAGTGTAGAGACAAGGCAAAACAGGCTAATTGTGAAGTTAGACATGTGTTTCCTTGCAAATGTCTCTCTGCAGAGTCATCTCATTTTCAAAGCCCTGAAGAAAACTCACAGCAGAAGCCTGCTGGTTCCTCATCACTTTCACTGCAGATAGTGTTCCCAGTACCTGGGACAAGGCTAAGTGTTTCTATCTTTTTAAATAAAAGCAGTAGGTAATAAGACATAATGATTTGCACTTTCTTTTTACAAATTGTCAACCACTGCGTATTAACATATAAGCTTTATTTAGATGATTTTTCTGCTGAGTCCACCCTTAAGTTTGATAGGACTTTACACATAACAGTGTTATTTCTTTCTCTCTTCATTTATTTGTCCACGTGAAATTGGAAAACTGTCTTTCTACAACATCGACAAGTCAGTTCCTTCACTCTATCAGCTCTCTCTACCTACAGTATGAGACAGACTCTCCCTCCCTGAAAGATAACCCATCACTCAGCAAACTGGAACATCCTTTGCCCCCACAGCCCGCAATGCTGCAGTTTTGCATTAATGAGTGAAAAGTCATTCCCAAAATTAACTTCTTCTATTTTAAAATGCAAATAGTCCAAGAGATTCTATTTAAGAAAACAAAACAAGACTCTCAACAGAAATCCAGATCTTCTGCGACTACTTACTGATTAACATGGCCCAGTCATTTCATTAAAGAGACTGGTAGAAGAAGTTTATTAAGTCAGTCTTCACTTATCCACAAGCAGTGGTCTCATCTGAGCCACAGCAAGCATTTAAGTCTTTTGCCTGTGGCCCCAGCAGATTATCGTGGCCCTTAATTTAGCATTCTGTCCTTCACTTTGTCTTGTAGTATTCTGAGCTTTTTTTAACCCTGAATTACTCTGAAACTACAGTCCAAATAATGAAACAGATTAACTCCAACAGTACAAAGAAAGTAGGAAGTCTGTGTAGATTCTTTAAGCATGTTTAAAGATATAGAATCTTAATCCCTAATCAGTCATCAAAATCTAAATGGAAGAATATATTACATTTAAAACCAAGGGAAAATATCAACCAAATGTGTGGTGAATCTTTTTGTCAGCTTTTAAATTAATGCATATGCTTTTCAACTATTGCAATAATGTACGGCTACTGAACTAAAAGATAATTATTCATGATCAAACTTATACTTCTCTGCACTTTCCATCCCATCTAACTTCAAATTAGACTTTCCAAAGAATATTTAGCCTTCAAATATCTAATTCTGTAATTCTTGATTTATTGTATGTTAGAAAATTCAAATTGGGCTTTAACTATATTATTTCTGTTAATTGACTGTAATGAATTTTGCGAGTTTTAAAAATCTGCAATCTGCTCATTGTGCCAACTCTGCATTGCAGAGAAGTCTTAGACTGCAAGCCCAGCTTGGTTCTTGCGAACAATTACTACTTACAGGCTTTAAGTGTATTTACTGGGGAGGAAAAAAAGAGGAAATCTCGCAACCTGGCTGGCAAACAAAGCCTCCGAAGGCTGCTGAAACTCCCAGCTCGCCGCCTGGGCGCTGTCCTTGGTGCTGCCGGCGCCATAGCGTGTACAAGCACCTTACCTTCTGCCCTGCGGAAGCTGCGGATGTCCGCCAAACGTTAAGCAGAATGCATAGCTACATGCCAAATTTTAACACAAGTAACTACCCGATTGTTCTCTTTGTCCTTTTCCCCAAGCTTTGCGACTCGCCATTCCCCCATTCTCCCCCCACCTCGCTTCTAGGCCCAACTCCTTGGCGCTCATCTTCTACTGCTTTAAGATAAGGAGTAGGGGGAAGGGGAAGGAGGCCTGGAGACAAGAGGGGTGGGGGAAGGGATGAGAAGAATAGAAGAAAGAAGGGAACTAAGAGATAGTGAACTGAGTTAGAAGAAAACTGTCCCAAAGGAAAGGCTTGATGGTCAGGGTGTGTGGGACCAAGAAAGGTTAGAAGTGGCAAAAAGAAGACGCGCCAACAAGAGGAACAGTGATTAAGCAGAGGGTGAGCAGGGGGCGGGGGAGTTACAGAGAAAGTGCGAATTGGACCAGAAAGTTGTGACGAAGTGAGCTGAAGCTGAAGAAGAACCAGGGGACCCAGAACAAGGGGTCCGCAAAAGAGCAACACGAAAGGAGGGAGGAGTGACTAGACAAAGAAAGGGTGTCGGTGAGTGTTCGCAGGGAGAGCGCAAGGTGCAACCCAAAGGCAAAGAGAAGTGAAGTGAGAGGAGGATGTTGGAGGGGCAAGTGCTGCGGGACAGAAAGCAGCCAAGGGCAGTTAGTGCGGGTGGGCTGCGGCGGAGACCGAGCACCCGGCGCCGCATCACCGCGCAGCCTGGCCCCCACTCCACCCCCTATCCCGGAGCGCAGTCTCCGCCTCCTCGGCCACCGCCTCCACGGGGCGGGGCCCTGGCCCGCGACCAGGCGCCGCGGCTATAAATGGGCTGCGGCGGGGCCGGCAGAACGCTGTGACAGCCACACACCCCGAGGCCTCCAAGATGAGCTACACGTTGGACTCGTTGGGCAACCCGTCCGCCTACCGGCGGGTCACCGAAACCCGCTCCAGCTTCAGTCGCCTGAGCGGCTCCCCGTCCAGCGGCTTCCGCTCGCAGTCGTGGTCCCGCGGCTCACCAAGCACCGTGTCCTCCTCGTACAAGCGCAGCGCGCTTGCCCCGCGCCTCGCCTACAGCTCGGCCATGCTCAGCTCGGCCGAGAGCAGCCTCGACTTCAGCCAGTCCTCGTCCCTGCTCAACGGCGGCTCCGGACCCAGCGGCGACTTCAAGCTGGCCCGCTCCAACGAGAAGGAGCAGTTGCAGGGGCTGAACGACCGCTTCGCGGGCTACATCGAGAAGGTGCACTACTTAGAACAACAGAACAAGGAAATAGAGGCAGAGATCCATGCACTGCGGCAAAAGCAGGCCTCGCACGCCCAACTGGGCGACGCCTACGACCAGGAGATCCGAGAGCTAAGGGCCACGCTCGAGATGGTGAACCACGAGAAGGCGCAGGTACAGCTGGACTCCGACCACCTGGAGGAAGACATCCACCGGCTCAAGGAGCGCTTCGAGGAGGAGGCGCGCCTGCGCGACGACACCGAGGCGGCCATCCGCGCGCTGCGCAAAGACATCGAGGAGTCGTCGCTGGTCAAGGTAGAGCTAGACAAGAAGGTTCAGTCCCTGCAGGATGAGGTGGCCTTCCTGCGGAGCAATCACGAAGAGGAGGTGGCCGACCTGCTGGCTCAGATCCAGGCGTCGCACATCACCGTGGAGCGCAAAGACTACCTGAAGACAGACATCTCATCAGCGCTCAAGGAGATCCGCTCCCAACTTGAGTGCCACTCAGATCAGAACATGCACCAGGCGGAAGAATGGTTTAAGTGCCGCTACGCCAAGCTCACCGAGGCGGCGGAGCAGAACAAGGAGGCCATCCGTTCTGCCAAGGAGGAGATCGCTGAGTACCGGCGTCAGCTACAGTCCAAGAGCATTGAGCTCGAGTCGGTGCGCGGCACCAAGGAGTCGCTGGAGAGGCAGCTCAGCGACATCGAGGAGCGCCACAACCACGACCTCAGCAGCTACCAGGTAGGAACGGCGGCTGCGCGGCCAGACTGCGCCAGCGCCAGCGCCGCGCGTGCCCGACTCCCTGGCTCGCGCCTAGCTGTCACTCCCCGAGCGCGCGCACCCTGGTGGCGGCTCGCCAGAACGCGCAAGCGGCAGGCCCGCGTTAGTTGTTGCAAAGTGACCTCGCCCTCTGCATCCAGACCACACTCCTCCCCCTTCTGGGCCGCAGCTTCTGACCTTTTTTGCAAAAGTATTTCCAGTTTTGCTCGCTTGTGCGTTTAAAGCAGGAAGTATATATTCATGGAGTTGATAATGAAGCAACTTTAGTAATGGATTTTGCAGAAACGCACATACGCTATACTTTTCTGGCAGTGATCCAGAGAACTGAACCAACTTCAGCCCAGAGGGCTAGCAAGGGAAGGCTAAATCAGGCCAGGAGTTCTTAAGATTTGTTCTAGGTCCCAAGTCTACGTGCCTGAGGAAGAGTCTTATTGTCTTAATGATCTGGATTGTTTGCAAATCTCTTTTCATAATTTTTATTAGCTAAGTTTAAAAAATTTAATAAGTTTGGGAGCGAAGTCTAAGACATTTTCAGAGTTGGAAGGAGGGAAGGCTGAGAAGGGGGCAGGAAATACAGTTTAGGAAGGAAATTGTTTGGAAGGATGAGTCTGAGGAGACTCCTTGTGTCTGTTTCAGGATACCATCCAGCAATTGGAAAATGAGCTTCGGGGCACAAAGTGGGAAATGGCTCGTCATTTGCGAGAGTACCAGGATCTCCTCAATGTCAAGATGGCTCTGGATATCGAGATCGCTGCATACAGGTATGGAGCTCACTGCAGACGTAGCCACAGTACCCACTGCACTGCAGAGGCCGATGGGGCAGAGCCCCCACCACTTGAATTAAAGCAGGCAGGTGGCAGGAGTCTTAAACCAGTGCCCAGTTTTCTTTACTTATTAAAAGGTAGTTGTTCTAAAGACTTGCAAATGGGATTTCCCCACTTTTCATACAGCTTTAAAAGAATGAGTATTAATTGTAATTAACTGCTGTGAACTACATGGGTTGGGAAGGGGAGTTGATCAATGGCAATGCTTGCATTTAAATTTTTTATTTTATCAAAAATGTTTTCCGCATATTGGAATCAAAACCAGATTCCTTGTTTCCAGTATTTTATCTCATGGCTTCAGCTTTTCATTTTTATTATAATGTCAAGGACAAGCACCAGGACATCCTAGTTCTTTTTTTTTACTTATAGCTTACTATTGCCATCATCTGGCTGAAAATAGATATAGAATGATAAAACATAGATCTATTTTTATAGCTATAGAGAAAATCAGATTATATATATATATATACTACAAGTATAAATTGTATGTCTATGTATATCACGTGTGTGTAAAGAAAGGAAGAAAAATTATAAATCTACAAATTGATGTGGCCTTTCTATTAACTTACATTCAAAAAGGAAAATGCTTCATTGCTATTTTTGTACTGTTAATAAGGTAATTATAGCATTACAGAGTGAACCATATTCAGAGAGCACTCTTCTCAGCAAAACTGATTATATTAAATAAATATTATTATAATCACAGACCAATTTGTAGCATCACATATCTATAATAATGCCCAGCTATAATTTAATATACTATTAATCTTGGAGTGTATGATCAATAGTTTTACAAACACTTTGAAAAAGTAATATTGGCTTAAAAAATGTTTCTGTATGCATCTTAATGTCCAAAACTCAATGAGATTACTAAGTTTGTCTAGTCACTAGGATATTTTTTTAATATATTGATGATGTTGCACCAAGGCCTGGACTCAGTGGCAGGGCGTGGTTAGTTACTGCAGCAAGCCATTGGACGGCAATCTGAGAATCTAACACATCCCTGGATATGGCACAATGTGTCTGTGAAATGATAGCAGGCATTACACTGGTTTGATGGAATCTTTTATTGAGTTGAATCTTTTATATTAGTAGTTGAGTGTATCCCAGTGTGACTACTGAATAAGCCATAATGTAATGAAGCTCAGAAATGCCAGTGCGAATTTAGTTATGCTTCCTCTTCTTTGGTTCTTTCCTCAGAAAACTCCTGGAGGGTGAAGAGACAAGATTTAGTACATTTTCCGGCAGCATTACGGGCCCTCTGTATACACACCGACAGCCTTCAGTCACAATCTCTAGTAAGATTCAGAAAACCAAAGTAGAGGCTCCCAAGCTAAAGGTCCAACACAAATTCGTTGAGGAGATCATAGAGGAAACCAAAGTGGAGGATGAGAAGTCTGAAATGGAAGACGCCTTGACAGCCATTGCAGAAGAATTAGCCGTTTCCATGAAAGAGGAGGCGAAGGAGGAAGAGGAAGAGGCAGAAAAGGAAGAGGAACAAGAAGCCGAGGAAGAAGCTGTAGAGACCAAAAAGTCCCCCGTGAAAGCTACCGCTCCAGAAATCGCAGGAGAGGAAGAAGGCAAAAAGGAGGAGGAGGAAGAAGAAGGACAAGAGGAGGAGGAAGAAGAAGATGAAGGGGCCAAGTCAGACCAAGCTGAAGAAGGAGGCTCTGAAAAGGAAGGGTCCAGTGAAAAGGAGGAAGGCGAGCAGGAGGAAGGAGAAACAGAGGCTGAAGGTGAAGGAGAGGAGGATGCAGCTAAAGAAGAAAAGAAACCCGAGGAAAAGGGTGAAGAAGTGGCCGCCAAAGAGGAACTGGTTCCAGAAGGCAAGGTGGCCAAGCCAGAGAAAGCCAAATCGCCGGTGCCCAAATCTCCCGTGGAAGAGGTGAAACCCAAAGCAGAAGCTGAAGCTGCAGCTGGAAAAGGTGAGCAGAAAGAGGAAGAAGTGAAAGCGAAGGAAGAAAAGAAAGAAGCAAAGGAATCTCCCAAGGAAGAGAAAGTAGAGAAAAAAGAGGAGAAACCCAAAGAAGTGCCCGAGAAGAAGAAGGCTGAGTCCCCAGTAAAGGAGGACGCTGTGGAGGAGGTGGTCACGGTGACCAAATCCGTCAAGGTGAGCTTGGAGAAAGACACCAAAGAGAAGGTGGAGCCCAAGGAGAAGGGCAAAGTGGAAGAGGAAGGTGGGAGCGAGGAGGAAGGGAGTGACAAGGGGTCCAAGGAATCCACCAAGGAAGACATAGCTATCAATGGGGAGGTGGAAGGAAAAGGCGAGGAGGAGCAGGAGACCAAGGAGAAGGGCAGCGGGAGAGACGAGGAGAAAGGGGTGGTCACCAATGGCTTAGACTTGAGCCCGGCTGACGAGAAGAAGGGGGGTGAGGAGAAAGTGGTGGTGACCAAAAAGGTGGAAACAGTCACCAGTGAGGGAGGAGATGGTGCTACCAAATACATCACAAAGTCTGTAACCGTCACCCAAAAGGTGGAAGAGCATGAAGAGACCTTCGAGGAGAAACTAGTGTCCACTAAGAAGGTAGAGAAGGTCACCTCACACGCCATAGTAAAGGAAGTCACCCAGAGTGACTAAGATGTGAGTCCATTGCAAAAAGGTTAAGCCATATGACAACTTCAAAATGCATGTGATCGACAGCTTCAAAACAGAACGGGTTCTCCCATGGGGGCTCCAGACATCGTATTTTACTTTGTGCAATATGAGGGAACTGCATGCAAGCTCAGGGTGCTCCCTCCTCCGTCTTTGGGGGGTTCAAATGCATGATATTGTATGTACCTGGGGAATTTGCCAATTTGCCAAGCTGTTGGAAGGGGGACACTCGCTAGGGGGTTTGTCTTGAGATGTATTATGCAAAGAACCAACTGAGCCAAAAATAATAAATGAAACACAGAACTCTTTTAGCCTTAAGAAAGCTATATATGAATAATTATGTTTACCTCACTGGTGCATTAAAAATGGACTTTTGTTCATGGGAGAACCTCGTTGACATGCACAGTTTGCAACATTTCGTTGATCGATGTTAAACGTCACAGCAGTACATGCTCAATAAAGGTCATATTGGAAACATACCTAGTGGCTTGGAGTTATGTCATTTTAAAGTAAAATCTCCACATCCCAACCTTTTTGGTGCCTAGAGTAAATTTTTTGGAGACATTATAAGTGGCCTGCTCTTTTCTCATTATTTCACTTCTAGCGATTACTTGGAAAAATAATTGCTGAAAACACTTCCACGTGTTAAAATCTTTATTTAGTCCAAAATCTGGGGCAAAACTTAAAACTGTATTTGTGGGTGGAAATCAGATAAAATAAAATTAGGGTAAAGGAAATCTTCATTGTCCTAATGTATCCTTTGCAAAGCAAAATTCAGAGATCTTCAAAGCAAGAAAGGAGATAAAGGAGTCCTAACTTGCTCATTGGAGTTGGGACACTGATAAAGACACTTCATCACTCATTACAATATTTCCTGTAGAAGCTGAACTGAAACCATCTAATGATGCAAACATCTAACAAGAAGCATCTAGGATCAGATGCATAGCTCCGATTTTTAGCACACGCACACTCTGCATTGCTGAGTCTTCCTTTACTGATAGAGATTAAGACCTTTGGCATTTTGTTAATTGGGGAAACAATGCTAAAAATAGGTAAGATAGCCTAAATTAAATAGAAAAATTAGATTCCTTTTCATAAGAAATAAATATTTTTAAGCAAAAAGGTCTGATCTTGACCAAAGATGTTAAGATTTTATGCTCATTAATTAGCATATTAATTAATATCTTAGGATCTGGCCAAAATATACTCTTGATACTTTCAAAAAGAATATTTCCAAGATATCTACATTTTAATTTCCAATCATGCCCTGTAAGTTAACTGCTAATGGCAACTTTTGTGATAATGTCTTTCCATCAGTCATTTGTTACACATGTACACCTATGAAATCTTGCTTAAAATACTGTTTTACGCTAAAATAATTAACTTTCCCCTAATCAATGCTCATGTCAATTAAAGTGAAATGGGATTATTACAATATAATCAGCAATAGCTGACTATAGAATCTGTAGTGGCCTAGTGAGAAGCTACTCTGCAATCCCAAAGGCAAGCAGTTCAAATCCACCAGCTATTGCATGGGAGGAGGATGTGCAATTTCCTCTCATGCAATTTACTGCCTCTGAAAACTCACTGGAGGGTCAGTTACGTGTCAATTCTGATGCTACAACACACAACGTTGGAAGAATATAAGATAAACTACAATGGAAAAATCAGCACAGGGAACATGTTGGGATGAGGGAATGCGAGGCAGTCCCAAGAAACGGAGCAGATTATCATTCTGCAGTTTTTTAACCACAGATTGATGAAGCTCAAAATAGGAGATTTCAAGAACAGAGCATATTTTTTCATTTTTTTAATTGGGAAAAAAACATATTGGGGGTACAAGGAGGTGAGGGTTGGGGGCAGAGGGGTGAGGATGGGCAGGGATGCAGTTGTAGAGCTGCAGAAATTGGTTGGTGGGGGGAGCAGGCGAAGGAAATGAAAAGGATCCAGTGGGGACCAGATGCTACAGGAGAATGATAAGCATTTTCCAATGGTATTTAAACCAACTGTCTTATTGATTTGGGAACTGGATGCTGACTCTCTGGCTTCTTCATGCTGAACAGAGACGTTGATGTGAAGGGGGAAAGGGAGGACACTTTATCACATTACTGGTGATCTTGGGTTAAGGCTGCTCGTCTTCTTGTTCTGTTAGAAGATATTTTCCTGCTATTTCCCAGGTGGGTCCAGTGGGGATGGCTGGTTGAACCCAGAGGCTCCATCCTCCTTTGCTTCTTTAGCTGGCAGTTGTATTTCCTTTTTGTCACTGGCACTGGTTTCAGGGTCAGGTCCGAAGTAAAACTCAGTGGTAAGGTTACCTATAGGAAAGGGAGCAAACCTAGAGAGAACAAACTTGTGAGTTACAAATAGAGGGGTTTTGGGGATGTTGCTTTCAGGTTTACTGGGGGAGAGGGTGGCAGAAAGTAGCCTAGATAAAATTCTCTGGATACTCTAGGCATTTTTTTCCTATGGCACAATCTGGGGACTGAGGAGGAACACAGCATATTTTTGTCTCACAAGTTCACTAGCAAAAGGAGGAGCTTGGTTGACTGTTTTTCCATCAAAACTGACTCCAATCACAAGGCAGCAACTCAGAAAAGTAAAGTTTGAGAGTTGATATTAGAAGTGGAAGTAAAGGCCAAATTGATGTTGGAAAAGCAAATTGAATTTTTAAATACATTCTAACATGTAACCATTTCCAGAAAAGCATTCATCTGTATTTCCATAAAATAATTTCCTTTTCCAGCATTGGTAAAAAGTAAGTGTGTGTGTGTGTGTGTGTGTGTGTGTGTGTGTGTGTGTGTGTGTGTGTGCACGTGTGGTGTCTGTGTGATAGGCAGGGAAAAGGACAAGAAAGAAGATTTTTTACAAATGAAGAGTTCAAGGACATGAATGACAATTTCCAGATGGAAGACACAGGGAATTGATGAACCTGGTTTAAGATCATAGGATCACAAGTCAGGAGTCAACTTCAAATCTTATTGGCTTTATCTTTTCACATTCTCACATTCTTAAGGGAGTAGTCCATGGCAGCTACTATTGGTATACTATTCTAACTGGCTCTCAAATTAATCTGAAAGCAATTCTGATGTTGTTGTTGTTGATTGTCGTCAAGTCGAGCCCAACTCAAAGCAACCCCATGAACAAAGGCCTGAAGCCTTTCTATAACTATCATTGTTTCTCAAAGGTCATAGTTTCCAGAGGCCTGTGGTTTAGGAAGTGGATGTCACTCCTGCCTCCAAACCTGTCTTAAACTGGGAGTTCCACCAAACACTGTCCACCATTATGCCATTTGACATTCCAACGGCACAAAGTTCAGCATCACAGCAAAGCCAGATTATCTCAGTACAAAAGGGTAAAGTTACTAGTTGGAGCTTCTTAACCTCCTTTATTTAAATTCTTCAAATTCAAATCCACCAGCTGCTCAGTGGGAGAAAGATGACCAACCTCTTTCCATGAGATTTACTACTTCTGAAAACCCATTGCAGGGTCAGCTATGAGTTGGTTCTGTTCTGACTCAATGATACACAATAGCAACAACAATCTTTCCTTAGAAGCCAGATTAATTAAAAACACAAGGCAGTGCAGCACAGAAAGCTTTGCTACAATCTTGGGAGGGCTTTGGGACACAGTAAATGTTACAATACCTCAATGCCTTTCCATTTAGCCTGAAATACTCAAGAATGCTTTAATCTTGAGATAAAGCTTTTAAATTTCTCAAAGTTTAAATGCCCAAAATTTGTTATTCAGAAAAAATACATGAATTAAAGAAGAATTTGCATTGAATTCTTGTGTGCTAATATTTAGAAGAATAAAGTTAAAAGTTATTAACTTATTGTGAGGTGGTCACGGGTACCAAGTTTATACACAACAGAACGCAACTCTATAACCCCAGGCTCATTCTCGCTTATTATTGCTGGGTCTCGTTCATCTCATTGACAGAATTTCTCTCTTTTGCTGATTGTCTAGTTTATCAAGCCTCGTCTTTTTCTACAGGAATTAGCCCTTTCTGGCAATATGCCTCAAATATATAAGACAGAGTTATTAACATATCTGTTTAGATATATGACACTCATATGACACAACCTTATTTGCTGAAAGTGAGGAAGACCTGAAATGCTTGCTGCAGAAGATCCAAGACTACCACCTTCAATATGGATTACATCTCAACAGGAAGGAAACAAAAGTTCTTACCACTGAATTACTAGACAATATCATGATAGATGGAGAGAGGATTGAAATGGTCAATTATTTCACCTTACTTGAATCCACTATCAAACCCTTGATAGCAGCAATCAGGGGATAATAAGATATATTGCGTGGGAAATTTTGTAGTCAAGGATCCCCTCAAAATACTGAAGAGCAATGATGTCTGTTTGAAGACCAAGGTATGCCTGATTTAGGCAATGGTCTTTTAAATCTCTTGTTATGCATCTGAAAGCTGGACAAGGATGACAGAAGAATTGATGCCTTTGAGGTGTGACCACTGAAAAATCCTGTGGAGTACATTTCTACATTGATAAAACAGGGTATCACCAGGAATCAAAATTATCTCAATGGCAACTAATAATAATTATTGCTAATATAACTTTACTGCTTAGAAAAACTGTTATCACTGCCTCAGAGATCCATCCAGCAATTAAAACAGATGGGGTAGCTGTGAGTCAGAGTTCATGGCAACTGGTTTAAATCCCACAACTTATTATCGACAGTGACTGGGGCATTATTTTGTTGTAACAGATGGATTAAATACTTTGAAAGAGCTTTATACAGATCTCATATCTAATCCATTATTATTTGTACCCATTGATACAAGGAGTAAGTAGTTTTATGTATCCCTATTCCCATTTTCCTGAGATGAACCTTCACAAAGGTGAGGGTGCGTACCCAAAGCCAAAGATCTTTTAAGAATAATAGCAATTATTGAGTTGGTTATGTATCAGAAAATTTAGTAAGGCACCTTACTTATTTAATATTCAAAACAAACA